ACCTTTTAAGTACGCACAACCAACCAATCACGCTTGGAATGCAGTTCACGTGGTCGGGCAATGGTGTTTGATTGACTGTACCTTAGGCGCAGGGCACGTGAATGACGAGGGTCATTATACCAGGGAATTCGAAAACTTTTATTTCCTTACCGATCCCGACCAGTTGATTTCTACCCATTTTCCCTACATGGACAACAACAAAAAAGAAAGCAAAGCTTGGCAACTTCTTCAGAAACCTTTTACATTACAATCATTTAATAAGAATGTAAAAAGGACGATAAAATCCTTCAAGTGGGGCGTGGATCTAGTTTCTCATAGACAGGCTGTGATTCAGGTGACGTTGACTGCCACTGTGTTTATAAAAGGGACGACAAAAATGTTAAACAATGTAGCGGCACGTTTAACGGACACAGACGGTAATGTTCATAAGCAGTATACATTAGTGCAAAATCCAGACCAGAACTTATTTTCCATTCGAGTACGTCCTCCAACGATGGGTAAGTTTCGGTTGACAATTCTCGGAAGTATTGACCAGAAGGACACGACACTTTATGCACTTGTGTCATACATATTGCGTTGTAGGCAAACAGAGCAAAAGGTGTATTTATATCCCAAACATACCGGGGTCTGGAGGTCAAGGTCTGATTACAGAGATTTTGGATTTCAAACCGGTGTGGATTCACCTCTTATAATAACCCCAAAAGATGGCATTTTAGAGTTGACTTTACCTATAGAAAGAGATTTCCCTGTTTCATATAGATTAAGTTACTCTGAAGGCACACTGAAAAACATAGAACGCTATGTGTTGGTAGAAAACATTGGAAATGCAATATCCATACGTGGTCACTTTTCAGAGAAAGGATTCTATAAATTACAAATCTTTTGTAAAGCAAAATCAGGGGATTATGAGCCAGTTCTTTTGTATTTGATAGACTGTACTAAAGATGCCATGAACCACTCTGTACCATTTCCAGTTATGTACTCCTCCGCCTCAGAATATCACTGCCAGCTTCTGGAACCATTAACACGTGAATTGCCGGAAGAGACGTGGATAAAAATAAGGTTTCGGTCAAGTGACATCATCAAAGCAGTCGTAAATGGAAGAAAAATTGAAAAAGGAAATGGTGACGTTTGGCGAGCGGCTGTCCGAACTTCCACTGCCGGCGGAAGTGTGCGAGTTGCCGGAACAAGCGATTCTAAGGGCCGCTATTGGGTGCTATACGAATTTAACGTAGTCAAGGGAGCTAATTCTCTGGTGCTTGAGGATGTTTTGACGGCTCGGTCTATCACGTCACAACCTCCTACGACCCAACGATCAGAGAAGCAATCAAAGACACCAAACCAAAAGGGCATCCTTAAGAGACAAATCAAAGAGAAAACTGTAATTATTTCAAAATGAAATGTATTATTCGTTAAAAAAGACATCGATATGAAGACATTAATATGTGATTCATACTGTAAGCTAATAAATTTTCTGTCTCGCTGACGAAATACATTAACTCCATATGCGACGAGAAATAGCAGCCCGAAACAGAGAACAGTTTCCCAGATAGCATGACTCCTTTGGGCCAACGCTGGTTTTTGGTTGTATGGTTGGTGGAGTGTTGGCGTTGGGGAACAGATGTAGGCCCAACGTTGGTCCAACGTTCATTTACGTTGGCATGAAAGCTAAACCAAGGTGTTGGACATGTGTATTGGCCCCAAGTTGGTCCAACGTTCATTTACGTTGGCATGAAAGCTATACCAAGGGTGTTGGGCAGGGATTTTGGGCCCAACTTTGGTCCAAGTTCATTTACGTTGGCATGAAAGCTAAACCAACGGTGTTGGGCATGTGATGTTGGCCCAATATTGGCCCATTGTAGTTACATGTTGACAAGAAACATAGCGATTTGGTGTTGGACATTAAGATTTTGGGCCCCAACATGGTAACCGAGTAAATGTTGACATGGATTAAGACCATTGTGTGTTAAATATGAAATGTTGGCCCAAGTCCCAGCAGGCCCAACGTTGTTTAACTTTAAAAGGAGGTGGAATATAGGTTGCAACGTTGATCAACTATATTTCAACGTTTTTCAACGTTGAGGTTTCAACGTTGAATCCTCAACCTTTTTTAACGTTAAACAACGTTGAAGCTGCAACATATTTTCAACGTTGAATGATCGTCGGTATTTCAACGTTGAAACAACGTTGAAGCTGCAACATTTTTTAACGTTGAATGATCGTCGGTATTTCAACGTTGAAACAACGTTGAAGCTGATATTTCAACGTTGAAACAACGTTGAACTAAGTATTCTCAACGTTTGATGTTCATTGATATTTCAACGTTGAAAAACGTTAAGCTCAACGTTGAAAAACTTTGAAGCTGCAACATATTTTCAACGTGGAATGCTTGTCGATATTCAACGTTGAAACAACTTTGAAGCTGCAACAAATTCTAACGTTTGAACTTTATTGATATTTCAATGTTGAAACAACGTTGAAATTAACATGTTTTCCACGTTCAGTATTTTCTGAACTATAAATTAAAACAAGGTTTAAAAATGAAAGTTGACTGTTTGTTGGTTTCAACGTTGAAACAACGTGGAAGATCTAACATATTTTCAACTTTAGGAAAGTTAGGAAAACAAGGGTAATGAGTATTGAGCACTTTAGTTTTTAAGGTCAAAATATAAAGTGCTTTAATCTTAATTTTATGCGATTTTTCGCAAGATACACAAAGCTGTATGCATTGTTAGAAAATATTAAAAAAATTATACATAAAAATAAAACACATGCAATTTGAATTGATTTACTCAAAAGAGTTGTGCCAGTTCAGCTAGTACCATTGTAAAATTTAAATAAATTGTGAATGCTTTTTTTTTTAAATATGTTGAATATAAGCTTTTAATAAATAATGACATCTTTATCCATTATCTCACTGTAATTCCATGTTCATTAGAATTAATAAAAATAATTATTTATTCTTAATTAATGTTCTTAAAATTAGACTCATAAAACCCGTGCAGTAACTTTTGTGCAAAATGTTATACAAAGCGAATCAAAGAAGTCTTATTTTACAGATTGTGCTTTTGTTGTGCATATTAATTCTATAATCTTTCTTTTCACAAAATATATAAAAGAAAAATTCAAATAAACACATAACAATTTTCACATGACAAAAGCATTATTTAAAGATCCCCCCCAAAAACCTTCGAGATATCAGATAAGGAGTGCCTCTCGCTTAGTTGGTCAGTTTCAGTGTCAGGATAACCTTGTTATGCAATTTTCTTGCTGGGCAGAGTATAGCTGCAGCTTATCTAGGTCAAAATTTGAATTCAACTGATGGACAAGAAGTCCCGGTTCCTTGCTGTTCATATTTCATGTGTTTTCAAGCTACATAAACAAGGATTTAGGCTGGAATATCAACTTCTGCTTTAAATATTATTTCCTTTTCATGAATTTAGGAAAATAAATTTTTAGTATCTGATATATTTAATTCTTGTTTTATAAGTACATGAAGTATATGTGAAATCTACTGAAAAGAGTCCTTGTTACATGTATTATGTGTATTGTTATATTTATTTGGTTATAAATATAAGTATACTAAAATATTAAAATTTAATTAATTTAGTTCATCTTATGGTTTAACCCCAGTGGTGCAGGGAAATTTATTGTATATAGTCAGCCTTGATTGCATCAGATTTTGGGGAAAATTATACAAAGGAATGAAATTTTGTAAGAATATGTTATGTATGTCTATAACATTTACTTTAGTAATAATTATTTATAAGCATACTAATACGAATTTTAATATGAAGTTAACTATAATTCTTTTTAATCATGTTAAGTACAGGAAAATATTCCTTTGTCTGATTTTTTAAAAATTTTTCATGTATATTTATTTTTTTGTTTCAAATAACGTGTTACGTACATTGTAACGAACAAATTTCTTTCACATCTTTATTTCTTTTATTAATAGGCTTTTGCTATAGAGGGGGGATTCCCCGTTCATTTCTTTCAATCGTGGGATTTAAATAAAATGTATATGGTGATTAAAATCAATGGATCCGCCACTTTGTGGGAAATTAGTAGTGTAAGAAAAAGCATACTTTGAAGAACCTTGATGTGATAACTGTGACCCCCTTTTCACTAGGAATATAAATTTTGTCAGGCAGTATTTTTGAGATTCAGTGATTGAATCTAAATTTGTGTTTATCTTTAAAAATACAAACTAAAGTGAATTTTACAATCGTAATATGGATTATAACTTATATAAATTTAGAATTGAAAAAAAAAAATTATTAGAATTTGAAATGCATTTGTTTATAAAGTAAAACGTAATATGAATTCAACGTGGTTTCAACCAAATATCAACATTTGACAACCAAAAAATTTCATCCAAATCTCAGCCTGATTACAACCAATGTTCACTTTTTTCAATGTTGATATTTGCTTTAAAAATTGGCTTCACTCATAACTTTATTTGCAACCAAAAATCAACCATAAATCAACCAAAAATTCAACCTATTTTAAACGTTTATTCAACGTTGAAAATTGACGTTGAAAAACGTTATGTTTCAACGTTGCCTCAACTTTCAATGCAACCAAAATTCAACGTTGATTCAACGTTGAAGTGCAACGTTATTCAAGTTGAACAAAGTTAAATGCCTGCTGGGGTAGGTCTAACTGAGTATACACGTTAGGGCAAGACATTGCCACTTATTGTTGGGTTTTTTAATGAATTTGGGAACGTTGGCCCAATTTAAAAATGTTGACAATATAATGATACATTGCTCTGTGTTGGGCGTGCTTGACTGAACTGGAGTTGGTCCAATAGTAGGAATACTGGGATTACTAGTACATGTACAGGAGCCTGTAATGTTTGAGATGAAAAGGGTAAAATTGGCCCAATGTTGCGAAAAGTATTCATCAATTTAGATTTATCTATTGTAAATCGATGGTAATGTAATACGCAACTCATTATAAACATGCGAACGACAATATATATTGAATGGAAATTATGATACAATCCTTATAAGTCTGTGAAATACATATAGTAATTTTATATCTTGGTATATTTTTATACGGAGCATTATTTGATCAAATTTAAAGTGCTGTGTTTTGCAAGTTTGGGGCTCCAAAAGAAAAAATAGGTCACTGGTGAAATTCACTGGCTCGGGAGGTGACTCATAGGTCTCCAAGGAAACCGTCATCTTTAAATCAGTTTTTTTTAACCGCACACTTTAACAATTCGAAAGCGTATGTGTCTGTTTAAGTGAAAGCAAGAATTTTAATCCTTTGAATGTAAGTATAGCTTTTGTTTTTGTTATTGAAATAAATTAAAGACTGTGAACACACAACATTGTATGTGGCATGTAGGCTTTCAAATTATTGGTACCAGGTAGCTGATTAAACAATTGTAATTGATGCGTTACCTTAACTTTTATAGGAATTGGCGGGCTTGAACATAGTAGATATGTCCTAATTTGTAAAGAACGAACGCAAGAATGTTAACCAGTGAAATTCAACCATTTTGTATTTGTTTATCAATAATTACTGATGTGAAATTGAGTTTAAGGATTCCTTTAAAAATATGTGTGATGCTGATGAACATTTGAAAATACTATTTTAATTGATCAACCGTAACGTTTGCAGCAAATTGCCCGGATGGAAAAACCCTCTTCACTCTGATACTATTGATGTGGCATTTCTGTAGGTGATGGAAGGGACTGATATATATGTGTGGGAAACATGGATTCTAAGAACAGATAAACAACAAAAGCTAGATTTAGTGATGCAAATATTCCTCTCAAAAACTCTAACAGTAGATCATGAAGACTCTTATATCAAAGTGATATTTAGTAGTGGACATAGTGATGTGGAGTGTACTTGAGAAACATTGAACTTTCTACCTCTTCCTTCTTTTAGTTACATTCCATGGAATACTTTAATGAAAGTGAAAGTGGCAAAGAATATATTGTGATACATTTTAGGAGGAAAAAAAGTATTTGACCAAACATGGTGAAATTAATTGTGTCGTATAATCTGGGAAATAAAAATGATACAATTTAATCAATTTTGTAAGACATTTGTATTGAGGAATAATTGTGTCATTGATATTCCAAGAATCAGCTTTGTATCAACGTTGAACCAACGAAATAACTATATTTTGAACTGAGGTCCAATGTAGGGCCAACGTTACAAAATATTTGGTTATAGATTGGTATGTTTGGAGTATAGTGTTTGAACCAACGTTGGCATTTCAACAAAAGCGTTGTACCAACGTCGGACCAAATCGTTATGATTCATATTTTCGGACCGAGGAACCGAACGTCGGGCCAACGTTAAAAAAATATTGCGTTGGTGTTGGTATGTTGGAATAAGTGTTACGTTGACAATTAACAACAGTATTGTAAGCATCGGCCCAACATGTCGGGCCAACGGCGCGCCAATGAGCAATAAGACATTGGCTAATGTAGATGTGCCAAGTATGGCCAACATAACCGACATTTGTTGTGAACGTTGGGCCAATGTTCGACGCC